AAACAATATTTGAAAATTGTTTAAATCTAAGAATTTCAACTATATACATAGTATATATATACGTATATATATATAATAGTAAAAAGTAGAATTCTTTGGAGTTCTTAGATTTGAACACAACCACTATTTTATAGCACCTAGAAGGCAACATTAAATAACAATTATTTCAGTCTTCCAGTTATCTATATAATCGCGAAACTGTTCCTTTCAATACTTATGTTTTAGCTATAAACAGGATACCAATTTATCATTATAAAAAATTGTCAAATACTAGTTATATTTCTGCAGCATCATCGTTAGGACGTGTACAGACGACAAAAATGGAAAGATTTATTCTTTCTTAGCAGTATAATCATATTTCTAAACATCTTTTTTTTTTTTTAAATTAAATAATAAGTTGAGATTTTGCTTGTTTGTTACTAATTGAATTTCAGTTAAATTAATAGAAATCTTCAACATTTTCGTTTATCAAACAATACTTTACAGTAACACTGAAAAGAATTATCTTTGGTGGTTGTTTCTATTAAAGTACTTCAGTATATACACTGGATATACACACATTAGTATTTAATGTTTGTATTTCTTCATTACTGAATATTACTATCGATAGTCTTATTACGATTACGTAACAAAGAAGCATCTGACAGAGAATAAGTACCAGGTTCAAATACAGGCGGATACTCCAATCCAGGATAATCAGGAGGTGGAGACGTCGGTGGTGGTATATAAGGTAACTTTGGTGGCGAAAGACATTTTCTTTCCGAAGATGAAATTTCTTTTTGATACACGTGACCACCAACGTTAGACTGGAAAATATATAAACATTATTTTTAATTATACGATATTGATTATTAACAAAAATTGATACGATTTCTTTTACATTTTTTACTTACTCTAGATGTGCGTGGCGAGTTAGGTCCTGGTGTATCCGGACTCCAATCGCTCATTGAACTGCAACTGTAACTTAGATTTTGGGAATGACTGTTTGTACTGAAGGAACTTAAAGATTGACTGATTCCACTATCACCAGGACTTTGCGTCTCGCTAATGATAGAAGATTTTTGTTGATTAGAATTTTTATCCCAAAACAGCGCTCTGTGCAATCTCGGTGATCCTATATAAAATTAAAATGATTAATATATATATATACCACAGATAAATTAATAATATGATAATTTATTATAAAATAATTTTGAAAATTTACCTAGTAAAGTCTTTTGACCGTCCTTAGGTAAATCCAAAGTACACGGTTTCTGATGACCTTTAGTGCTGAATAAAGTTTTCAATCTATTAGTTTTTTGAACTTGATCTTTTTTATCGAGATGCATCTCAAAAGTGGCTCTCATCCCTTCTTGTTCAAACGACGAAGCTGGTATCGGCGGAGGCTGATATTGTGCTGCATTTTTCAATCGATTTCTATCATAATTAATATTCTTCTTATCAACGCATCTCAAAGAATCAAGCCAACGTTTATCCGAGGGAAAATAATCTCGACAATGATTAGCAAGATTAAAACTTCCTTTACGCGTTACGGTTGCCTCCTTCTTTGCTCGTTGTAATGTATCAGAAGAAACAAAATACGTAAGATCGCCGCTAGATCCTGAATTTTCTATAAGTAATAATTAATATATAATCATTTAAAATAAATTAAAAATATAAATAATAATAATAATAATAATAATAATTTACCTTCGTTTTTATGAAGTCTCTTAGATACTAATCGAAGATCATCTATCAAAGTACCTATTTCTTGTGGGATTGCATAATCGTTAGATCTTTTATTTTCTTTATGATTTATGAACTGTATATCACGTGTAGGTAAATGTGCATTACGATCATAACTGATATTTCTATATCTACTATCACTTCGAGTATCAGGCGTACTATGACAGACTGGAACTGTTGGTTGTGGGAATTCGTGTCGTCTCGGTAAAGAATCATTTTGTCTAAATGATTGATGAGACAGATTATCTTGAGTTCTTCTTTTATAATTGTTACTCAGATCTAATTGTCTTTTGTGCTGCATAACATTTTTGCATTTACAAGATTTGTCGTGTAAGCAATCTGTTTTCTTATCATTCGAAGAAATAACATTTGATGATAAATTTTGTTGACGAGTTTTGTAGTATTCGTCAGGTGTTTTGGAATTTCTGTACAACGAAGAAGAAATCTCACTATTATTTTTATATTGATTATAAACAATTCCTTCATTAACATATCCATCTGCAGCATACGATTCTTCACTAGTTAGACAAACATCATTAACGTGTCTATTATGAGCATAAATGTGATCATTAGCTATAGGTGTAACTCGGGGAGATATCGATCTTTGCATTGTATTTTGTCTTTGATCTTCTTCTTGTTGAGACAACATAAATTGTTCTAAAGTTATAAATCCTTGCAATTCGTCTGGTTTTTTACTACGATAATTGGTACACCTACGTGTACGATGAAAATATTAAAATACGTATTTAATATCTAATTTATAACGATACGTTGATATTTAAGATTGTTTACCTATCTGCAGGGCGTCGATAATCATTCATTTCTTGATTACTATAAGACATATCGGTGGCACTTTGAGAAGCACTTAATCCATAAAATGTACTTCCTGCTATTGTCATTTGTAAATCTGAAGAATACGTCATACAATCTTCTTTCCTATAAAAAAGAACAAGATTTTATTCTATTTATTTAAACATAATTATATATATTTTTATTTATAAATTATAGACGTATAAATATTTACTTATTTGTCATATTTGTAGGAAGTACTCTTCTATAACTTCTAAACTGAGCTGTTGGTACAGGAATATTTTGATTTCTCGTACCAAGAAATCTTAAATATTTTCTATCTAAACTCGCACCACCAACTTCGTGATCCTTATATATTTGATCCTTTCGTACCGTTTTCTTCAAAGATCCAAATGATTTTTCCACGTTAGGTTTAATTTCGGGAGTATGAGTGAGTTTCAACTTATTTTTATATTCATTATCACTTTCGTCAGTTTCGCTAAAAAGTGCACTGTTTCTATTGTGTACGTCTGTTCCTAACGTTGCTTTATTTACAGCATCGAGCCAAAGAGTTAAACAATCTTCAGTATCAGCAGCAAAATAAAATACTGTTCCTGTGTGATAAACTTTAAAAGCATGCTTCCTCGACTTGACTTCAGTTGCTTGTGATACTGTAAAGCCTGTTAAAGCTATAAGACAGTCAGCTTTTGTACTGCTTTGCATTTTGAACCTATAAATATATATAATAAGATAGTGATTAAAATAATGTAATATATTTTATCAATATTATTTAAATAATTTAGAATATTTTTTGTATATATTCACCTATACAAAGCTGCACGTTTTAGAACAAACCACGCTCTGGCCCAAGCACCTCCAGCGCCTCTACTGCGATATGTTAACCATCCTTCCATATCGCCCATACCGAGATCTTTTACGGATATGTTTCTTTTTTCTATTTAAAACAAAAAAGAGATTTAATAGATATACATATGAATAAATATATATAAAATATCTATCCAATTATAAAACTTATATCGGACTACCTACTTGCTAATAAGGTATTCCTCTTTCTATTACTTCTTGGACTGTTATTAGAAGACTTACTCAAGCCTCCATGTAAACCAATACTTCTAGCTACCATCATAGCTTTATTAACAACAGCTTTTTCAAAGCTCTTATCTTTTTCTGATAGTTTGCTAATATTCGATCTGGATTCCAATAATTGTTCTTGTTTTGTACAGATTGAACTTTCAGAAAAATCGCTATTCCAAGAGCAGTTATCAGACTTGTAACAATCCGACAATGAATTATTTGAAATAGCAAATTTTTCGGTGAATGGTTCATATTTCTCACAATGCGATCTTTCATCTCTTAATTGTTTACCATAAATTTCAAAGTTATTAAGATCCGTAGAATCAATTGATATTGATCTTTGATTGTCAATCGATACGTTTAATTTATTATTTAAACTCGAAGACTTTTCCATTCTTTTAGAATAAATACTCAAACAATCGTCACTTTCATTTTGATCTAAATCGTTGCTTCTTTCTATCAAGATATTGCCACTTTTAGAATCCTTTCTCATATGATGTCTTGGCGATATTATAGATTTCCCTGCTGATTTCAAAACATTACCAGATTCAGGTACTTCTGGTTTAGGAATATATTTACGAGGTGGAGGCTCAGGTGGTATTAAATGTGATCTTATTTCAAATTTCTTAGTAGATTCAACTTTAGGTAATTCAATATATCTACAAGAATGTATTTTAGGTTCAACAACGATAGGATTCGAATTTTTTATACCACTATTACGTGGATTTGGACTAATTTGTATCTTTGTTGTACGTTGCGTAATATCTTGCATTTCTACATTAAAGTTACAACAATTATTTATTGGTATTTCTTCCTGTACGTCTGTAGAAACTTCTTTTATATATGAACTAGAATATTGTCGTTCTGTTGTTAGTTTCTCCATTGAATTATAGTCACTAGATTGTAAAATCTTACCAAATCTTTTTAGCGCTACGTCGTCTTCATTATTGCTGCCGGATTTTAGTTCAATATAATTAGTATTTAATTCTAATATTTCTTCTTTCGTATCGTAGTCAATTATATTGTTTTCATTTATTTTATGATAGTCACTTTTTGTAGTATTGTCTATTTCCTTATGTATGCTATCTACTATATGTTCTTTATCAGATATTTCGTTATCCGATATTATAGATTCAATATTGCTTTGGTTCTCCCTCAAACAATCTTTACAATCGATATTATCTAGATTTATTTGCGTAGAATCTGTTATATTCTTAAATCGAATCTTATTTTCAAAATTAGTTATTTTTTGTGAAACATTAACAATCACATTTTCATCATTATTCTCTTCATTAGTTATATTTTCTCTATTCTGTTGTTCTTCTTTATTATCATTAGTCATATTAAACGTAACATCCTTTGAATTCATAACATTGGACGAAGAATTAGTCTTTTCAAACGAGTTATCCAAAAGTAATAACTTTCTATCAATCTCAACATTATTCTCTGTAGAATCATATGCAGGCGTGCTATGACTTTTATCTAATCTTCCACGGTCCTTAACGTTACTTGCATTAAACTCATTACTGTTTAATTTAGTGTTGTTATTATTATTAGATCTATCACTAATACAATTGTTACATTCATCTAAAGGCACATTTGTATCACTCATATTATTTACGGTAGTTGAATTAATTATTTTTTGAGAAGAAGGACTATCAACATTTCTTATAGCAACATTTAATACTTCTTTATTAATAGTAGTTACTTTGTTACCTTCTTTCATATCTTGTAATAAACTTTTGCATTCATCTGTATGAGTTATTTCAGTCTCGCTTGGTTTTTCATTAGATTCATCTTTTTTATCATCTATTTGCGTATCAGGTCTTTTTTTCCTTATCGTTGATTCTATACCTAAGCATGTTTGTGGGCGCAAATTTGATGGTACGCTATCTAAACTGTGTGCACAGGATGCTGCCTTATCTCTTAATTGGAATGTAGTGCTATGTTCTTGTTTCAACTCTTTCCAAAATTGTTCTATATCGACTCCGTGTTTAGTAGTTGGACTGGCACCAGTTATTGTAGCTCTTCTTTGAACTAAACTTCTTGGTTTGGTAGAATACAAACGAACAGATACAGGTGGTTCAACTTCGCTATCAGAATCGCTACTATCGGTTGCCATTGTATCAAGTATACTAACAGTATCTGTAATACCTGCTGGTTGTGGGCTAGCATTCTTTGGTGTATGCCTAATTAATAAAAATATAGATACATTAAATTAAATACAACTTTTTTTTACATCAATTTATATAACTTATAAATATCATGCAAACATACCTTGGTAAAGGCATAGTAAAATCAGGTATAGTTAACAATTCTGGCCGTGGAGACGGAAGATTATGTTGCCATCTTGTCGTATACGTAGTTTTTTTATTGCTCGGAAGTCTATATGGCTTAATATAAATTTGTCCATATACTTTAGTGTGTCTTGGTCTTCTTTTCAATGTTAAAAGTATTTCGTTAGGACTCTCACGGAATAATTCCAATACGCTTTTTCTTTCCCATCCAACGACGGTTTGATAATTAATCTGTTAATTGTATTTGACTATCAATTAAATAGCAATTGATAATATATTATGAAATAATAATAAGAATTTTTGATAAAATATTACTTGAACTATCTCATCCCCTTCTTCCATTTTTCCGCATTGATGCGCAGCTGATCCAAATTTAATATCGGCTATTTGATGTATTCCATGAAAGGAAGGTAAGATATAAAATCCCTACAAAATACAAAAATTATATTCAATTATATGTATATTATACATATTAAATATAACATTATATTCTTATTCTATTATTTATAATAATGATGTATAGATAAAAGCAAATTATCTATAAAGGAAGTGACAATCATAACACTATAAGAAAATACACAAAGCGTTATCTAAAAAGGATGTTCCAACTAAGTCTGCATTTACTTAGAAATATAATATCTTACCAACTCGTCGCCGGGTCTTTTTTTTAATGTAGCCAAATCCAAAGTAACAGGTTGTAAAATCATTGGGTCAGCAACATCTTGAATTACATAGTCAGCCAATTTTGCTAATTGTTCGCAAGTAGATCTAATTTTTTCGATAGGTTTTTCAGCAAATCTATCTCTTTGAGCGCAAGTTGCCATTTCTAATGCTAATTTCATTAATTTTACTTTCTTATCATTATAATCCAATTGACCACTAAAAGGAGGACGATCAAGCCATCTTACTAGTGGTTTTACAGTCATAACTACTGACGCTACATCCGATAATGTTTGTGTAGTAACAGGTTTGGAATCAGTTTGACGTGATAGTTCATTGTACAAACTATGTGCTTGGCAGGACAACCTGAGTGCTAACAGTTGCAAATTTTCACGATCCAATTCGTAATGGAAATTTCTTAAATATTCGACGGCTTCTAAAATAATTTCTTGATGACCAAGTTTCAATACGCCGAGATGTTCTAGATCTTCTGGTCTCAAACTTAAAAGTTGTTGTCCGTTGACATAATGATTCATAAAACTATGAACATAAGGGAGCACTGCATTATCTAATCCTAAAATAACAATAATCTATGATTACATATATATCTGTAGAATTATAATTCTAAATTATTATATTTACAGATTTTTTTTATAAGAATCTTTCTATAAGAAAAGATTTATAAAGAAAATAATTGATAATCAATATATAATATGGAATATTATATTAATATATACCTACATCAATAAAAATATAAAAAATAATTAAACAATAACTCTATTGTCTATGATATTAAAAATTAAGTTAAAGATATTGTAATGAATCGGTGAGACGATAAGGCATGTAAAAAATACTAAAATAAAAAAAGAAAAGATTGGAACAGGATGTAAATAACTTCCGTTGACTAATATATATATATAACAATAGCATTTAAGTTCGACGATCTAATGTCAAACGTAATATATCATTATAACAGAGGTCATTCATTATTGGGATCACGAGGAAACATAATTAACGAATTATGCAATTAGAACGTAGGAAGGCGTGGTTTTTTTCTCGAATAAACCTTACTAAAGAACAAAGAAACTCGCAGTTTTCTTGCATCGATAAATTGAAAGATGATGATGATAATGATTACGACTAGGGATGGAGAGGGGCAGAGGGAAGGAAGGGTACAAAGAGGGGAAATTTAACAATCGAGAAAAGATTTCCCACGCTCTCTCTCTCACGAAAAAGCGGCTATCGCGATTATTTTCGATAGATAAATAAATGATGATAACAATTAATATTCAGTTAAGTTATTAACATTTGTTCGCACCTTTTAACCACTCGCACACTTGATCTGTTTTCCATTCGACTACATTAACATACGCCATGTCCCGACCCGTATATATTAATTCACAAAAACGCGATAGTGCACTCCACAGTCCGAGTTCATCTTCAATTGTGCCAATTCCAAGTCTGCCCCGTCGATAACTAAATGATTAATTACCATAACCTTACATATGCTTGCATATTAATTGGCAATAATCACGCTACGGTGCGCATCTGTCGCATATTTTACAACAAAGAGCAAATAAGTGCATTTATTGGACAATTGCTCGTAATCTAGATGAGTATCATCGTGTATTATTATTCGGAAGAACTATTTTTTCGTTTGTTAATAATTCGTTGAAAATCCGTTTGGTCAAAAATGGCGCCATATGTACTCCGCACTCTCATTGGTTGAACGTCAATAATGAAATATGTAATGTTTACAAATATAACAACAATTCTAAATAAAATCCATCCAATTTAAGTGGCTCCTAGATGCATTTATATTTTCTCATTAATTCAATATTTATAATGAAATAATTTGAATAAAAAATTATAATTATAAAAAAAATCCGTTGGATCGCGATGGCGCCACGTGTCCACTCCGTCCTCTCATTGGCTCAATACCAATAATGAAATTGTCAGAAGAAAACATAGTAATTATTTCAATAAAATGTTCAAGATATACGTATTTTTAATCTATATTTTACAGTTATCAAATATCGTAGAAAAATTATCGAATAACATTCAATTATTTGTCAAACACGGGGGGAATTATTACAGTATAATTTAATGATTACGAACGTTTTTAGAATATTCATTTCTTTTTGTCATACACAGTGTGTAAAGTGATATTTTGATATACCACTAGAGAGAGAGGAGTCTCGCATCACGTTATTGGCAAATACTAACTTCAATCAAGTTGTCCTATTAGTTTCGGTAACTATTTGACGGTGACTAAAAAAGAAACATGTTTTAATTGACAGTAGTGATAATTTAAACTGATCTGTGATCGCAGAAATGTCACCTTGAACGTTTAATAAAAGTCGACGGTGGGGTAATTTTGGGAACGCAACTCAGATGCGAAAGTATGTATATGACAAAGATTTTCTATATGTTTGTGACGTATGGAATGATCATGAAAAGATGGTGACCGATTAATAGGAAACTTTAATGATATCGTCAATTTCTAGAGTTAGATGAAATCCTAAATTACATTTTGATTATTTCTTTATGTATTTATTCTTTATCGGGAAAGTTTGACAATGACCATTAAGAAAATGGAAGAGAAAGTATCATGCAATTTAATCAGCTAAAATTTATACATATATACATTTAAAAAAAAACTATATTATTACATCTCAACGCCTATTGTAATGTTCTTCTAGTTGCATAAATCATTTTATTTATTTTTAAGCTTTCACGGCATGATCTACTATACTTGTACTTAATTTGTGTGAACAAGTGTTGTTTAATTATTTATTATTATTATTATTATATGCATCATCTTTTTATTTTTATTTCTATTTCTTATATTTTGCATCATCTGCTCTACATTTTAATTAGCAAGTAATTTTTATCAAAGCTTACTCATATTTATCTTATGTTCCTTATTATCGCCTTTTATACTTATGTCGTAAAGATAATATAACAGTTGAATAAGCAATTATTTTCTTATATAGATAATATAATAGTAGCTTTTATATATGTGTATGTGTATGCATGTATATATGTGTAAATACAGGGTGTCCTAGTTTTTTCCCCAAAATTTTCCACCATATTTTATAACTAACTTGGGCTTTTAAATGCTTTATTAAAAAGTTACAATCAAAATAAAAAAATGACGATAGATTGTTTTTTTATTTGATACTTCATAGGAATAGAACATCGGTTCTAATTATAATTTAATATTATTATTTATATACATAAGCACACACATAAATTCAATATTTTAATTTGTATTATAAAAAATGTAATATATATTTTAGGTATCGCTACATCTAAGATTAAAGAAATTATGAGATTTGTGGGATCACTATATTGAATCGTAATAAAGAACATACGATGTCCCACTGTAAAAAAGGTCCTTTGTCATCTGGATTTTATCAATTAGATATTATAAGTTAGTATGAAATATACTTATTACATTCATATAAGTTTTCTACTTTACGAGTCAAATTTTTCTTACAAATATATATGATACTTGTGTGTCATTTTAGTTGAAGGGGCAGTATTAAGAAGCTCATCATTCCTAAAACCTAATCCATATATAGAAATTTCTGTGGATGGTGAAAGACTTCTTACAACGGATGTATCCAAATCGACATATCAACCAAAATGGGAGGAAAGATTTCATGTCTTGGTGAAACCGTATTCTCAAGTACATTTTCGTTTATTCGATCATAGTACGTTCAGAAAGGACACGCTATTAGGAGAGAAAAGAATAAGTCTGTTTCAAATCTTGTCTCATTATAATGGAAAATTGGAAAACTTGGAGTTAACGTTTGATTTGATGAATTCTAATAAACATGATTACTGTTCTAACAAAGTTGGAGAGCTAGTAACTGTCTTTGATGGATTAACAATAGATATCAATGATATTACACCTGTTCATGATCCTCAGTTACCAAAAACTGGAGAATTGGATACACTGTTTGATAACTTGAGAATTGACCTTAATAATTCTAAACCAAGCAATACTAATGAATCTTTATGCCAAGTTCCATGTACCGTACCAGATGGTAAATAAAATATTTTGTTTTTTATCTGTAATATAAATCTATTTTTATTTTACTCATATATATTTGTTTATTTTAGGTGCTAGCAGTAGCGATACTGTAAGTAATTGCAGCGTGTTGAATGGAGGAGTACGTGGTCGAATGAGATTACATTCCAATGAAACTACCACACCGTCGTCAGTATATTGTGGTCAGAGCAATGCTCACCACAGTTCTACATATAACACTAATGCCAATCAATCTGGTATAGATAAACACAATTCTACTCAACATCACAAACCACACGAGAATGATAAGCCAGGAAGTAGTAAAATGTGTTCAATTCACTTAGCAAATGGACATGCTATTCCTATGTCAGATAAACCAGCAGCTCAAACACCTGAAAAACCAATGAATAGAACAACAGAACGACATACAACATCTTTGATGGACGGATGCCGACCATCGCGTTCAGAACTGCCGACCAATCATAACATATCAGAGGGACGTCCAATTTCTCGTCCAGAACAATCCTCTTCCGTATCTACTACAAATGAACGTTTAACGAATTTTCGATCTGATCAATCTGCATCTAGTTCAGCTTTGGATGGGCGTAGTACGGTTTCTCTATCAGAACCGTTATCTCTTTCTAATGTAAATACATGTTCAACTTCTCGAGTAGAACCAACATCACTACCCAATACTGAAACACGATCGGATCATTTATCTGAGGCCCGTGGAGTTACTCGAACTGAACAAAATAACAGTATTCTTCTTCCGCATTGTATTCCTCGATCAGAACAATCTATGTTAAATACAATACCAGATGGTCGCACTGTAATTCCACATTCAGAAGAGTTTACAACTAATAATTTGCCGGAATCTCGTTCACTTACTAGAATGGTTCAACCAACAGTTTCATTGGCGGGACAACCTACTATGCCTGTGGCTGGACAATCTATTGTACAACCTGGACCATCAGCAATGCTTTCAGAAGTTGATAATGCATGTCATTCGGAAGAACCTCTTCCACATGGTTGGGAAATGAGATGTGATGGTTATAGTCGAAGGTATAGTTTTTAATAAATATAATTATTAAATATCTTATTGTTTACATTAACATTAACTATCTTTTTAACTTTCGTTATATTTCTTATAGATATTATGTTGATCATAACACAAGAAGTACATCGTGGGAAAGACCGCAACCATTACCACCAGGATGGGAAGTACGCAGAGATCCAAGAGGTAGAATTTACTATGTGGATCATAATACAAGAAGTACAACATGGCAGAGACCAAACACAGAACGATTGCAGCATTTTCAACAATGGCAAGGTGAAAGGCAATATGTCGTTCAACAAGGCAATCAACGATTTCTTTATCCCCAAGTAAGTTATTATATTTTAAATGATATTGGATAAGCAATATTATTTTATTTTAAACTGATTGTTTAATATATAACAAATATCCAGCCTCTTGGGGCAGCAGCCGTTGTGGCAGGACAGCTAACATCTTCTGTGCCTGACGACGATGATATCCTTGGACCATTACCAGCTGGTTGGGAAAGACGTAAACAACCAGAAGGTCGAGTATATTATGTAAATCATAAAAATCGAACAACTCAATGGGAAGATCCTCGTACGCAAGGACAAGAAACAGGAATAGATGAACCACCATTACCGGATGGTTGGGAAATTCGATTAACAGAAGATGGTGTTCGATATTTCGTAGACCATAATACGAGAACTACAACATTCCAAGACCCAAGGCCAGGTGCACCAAAAGGGTAATTATTATTAATTTTAAAAAATAAAATTTAATATTTATAGAATTATAATATAAAATTAAAAATAATTCATTCACAATAATCAAGACCAAAAGGAGTTTATCGAGTACCAAGGGCATACGAGAGATCATTCCGTTGGAAATTATCACAATTTCGTTTCTTGTGTCAAACCAATGCATTACCCAATCATATTAAAATCAGTGTTAGTCGACAAACATTATTTGAAGATTCTTATCACCAAATAATGAACGCAGAAGCATTTGCGCTTAGGCGAAGATTATATATCATTTTTAAAGGAGAAGAGGGCTTGGATTATGGAGGTGTATCCAGGTGAATTTCAATAAGTATATTCACATATACATTAATTAATATTTAAGATTTTTATAATATTTCTAATTATTTTCATTTTTGTCTTTTTAGAGAGTGGTTCTTTTTATTGAGTCACGAAGTTTTAAATCCTATGTATTGTTTATTCGAATATGCTAATAAAAGCAATTACAGCTTGCAAATAAATCCTGCATCTTATGTCAATCCTGATCATTTGCAATATTTTAAATTTATTGGCCGATTTATCGCAATGGTTTGTATATATCTCTATACGTATATACATATTACATTACTTTTATATTTTATATTATAAATTAATTAAATATATTTTATTTTTTTAGGCTCTTTACCACGGACGATTTATTTATAGTGGTTTTACTATGCCATTTTTTAAAAGAATGTTAAATAAAAAATTAGTTATGAAAGATATAGAATCTATCGATCCAGAATTCTATAAATCTCTTATTTGGATAAAAGAAAATAATATCGATGAATGCGCCTTAGAATTGTATTATAGCGTAGACTTTGAAATTCTTGGACAGGTCATTCATCATGAATTAAAAGAAAACGGTGATAAAATTAGAGTTGTTGAAGACAATAAAGAAGAATATATTAGGTATTGAAATAAAAATTAAATATGAAATATTTGAAAAGAAGAATATCTATCTTATGTTCTTATTGTTGTTAGATTAATGACTGAATGGAGAATGACCAGAGGTATAGAAGAACAAACAAAAGCCTTTTTAGATGGATTTAATTCAGTGGTACCATTAGAATGGTTAAAATATTTTGACGAACGTGAATTGGAGTTAATGTTATGTGGTATGCAAGAAATCGATGTCGAAGATTGGCAACGTAATACCATTTATAGACATTATACGCGTAATAGTAAACAAGTTTTATGGTTCTGGCAGGTAAATTAATATTCTTTTTGTTTTATTCTATGATATATATAAAATTTGATCAAATGTTTATAACGTTTATCAATTATTTGCAGTTCGTAACAAGAACGGACAGCGAGAAAAGGGCTCGTCTTTTACAATTTGTAACTGGTACTTGCAGAGTTCCTGTCGGAGGATTTGCTGAATTAATGGGTACAATTAATTTATATGTTTGAATATATATATACAAATATATGTATATTTATTATTATAAATATTTGTTATATATTTGTAGGAAGTAACGGACCTCAACGGTTTTGTATTGAAAAAGTTGGAAAAGATACATGGTTACCAAGATCCCACACATGTTTTAATAGACTCGACTTACCACCATATAAAAGTTATGATCAATTGGTAGAGAAATTAAATTATGCAATTGAGGAAACAGAAGGTTTTGGTCAAGAATAATTATTAAACAAATATAAAAAAATCTTTTGATAGGTAAATACACGTATTATTAATATTATTTTAAATATTTTATAACAATTAGTAATTATATCGGAATGAAAATTCTGTATAATAATTTCATTCATAATAGGCATGAATGGATGGCAATAGTTCTTGGCACTACAATTTATGTTTCAACAATAAATACTGAGAGTTTGCTGACTTTAATAATATATATATATATACATAAAATAAATTCAGAATTAATCCGACACTTACTATAAATCAACCTGGGATGTAAAATCTGATTTAATACTATATGTCGATGTATATTATATACAGGTTTATGTGGGAGGAAGTATAACTAAATAATATTGTAAAAATTAGAAATTATTAACTATTTCTGTTAATATATTTATATTGATTCAGGCGTATGCACAATATTGTAGATTATTCCAAAAATAATGATTGTTTTTAATCTACATTGGAATTTATAGATTCCAAATGTTATTATATTACTATCCGAATTGGAAATCTAGTTTTTTCCAAAAATGCACGTTTTTGTTTTTCTTTTTTAATTTCGTGGAGTTAAAAAGGAAAATTCAAGTTAAAAAGAAAATGTCAATGAAAACAAACTGTCAAAAAATTGTGTATAAACATTCTTGAATTATATTTTTATCGTGAATGTCTCCTTTAAGTATTCACAATCCTAGTTTCTAAGCAATCTGACGAAACTTTTTATTCGATGGCTTTTATCATAATTTATAAAATAGCGTTAAGTAACTAATATATTAATCATTTGTTTAATATTGTCTTTTTTCATTGACATTTTCTTTATCGATCATTATGATTACGTAAATATGATAGGATTAAATACATGAATTAATTGTACATATTGGAGCTATATGTAATCATGCAATATACTATAACGGAAGTAATTATCCCTGTGATGTTTAGTTTGTATAGATTACTTAATCCCTTGCCTTATGGTATTGTGTGAGATTTGTAATAATGTTAACAAGTCAAACATAAAAAACACGAGTCAGATACACCGCTCTGATTACAGGTATAATATTCTATCCATTATTTCAAGTATATGAATCTAACTAAATAAAAAGAAAAATCATCAAGTGCTTTTAAAATTTCTTGAGATGAAAAATATTTCAAAAAATATCATACAATTTAGGACTATTCCATTTCATTCATTTTCTTTCAAAGATTAGCCATTTAAATTGACAAGGGTTCTTATCTGCAGACATAAATTAAAATTTTCTTAATACGTTATTTATGCTTAGGCAAAAAGTTTTGAAATATTAATGAATATCCTTTTACGTATCATGTCATTAGCTTCAAAAAAATTAAAGCTTGAGAAAAATTTTATCGGATTGATCGGAATAGAACTATCAAGTAGGATTCGTGTTCCTCACATTTGAGTTGTGAATTATTTTCACAAGTCTCACATGTTATTATAGCGTAAGGAGTTAATCATAGAGATGTTGCCATGTTTATATGCAAATACAAACATTGCTCACTGTAACAATAATATATATTATGTAAACTATACAGACACATATACATGCGCATATATATACACACGTTACCATTAACATTTTATAAAACAAAGAAAGAAAAACAAGAAGAATATGACATAATTGTAGATACTAATTGTTATCTTGGGATACATTATAAAAATAGATTGTATATATATATTTGCTTTAAAATACGTATACGATATATATGATACTATATATCGTACTATATACTTATATATGAACATTATGTAAAGAATATCATTTGATGTTGCAATACGTATCATACATAATGTTATATCAAGAATTTATGCTTGTTCAAAAATCATAACACCAAAATTACACACTTTGAATGAATTATTCAAGTAAATTCTTTCATTAGATCATTTTCTTGTGTTCAACACTAATTTTTAACATCGTGTAACCAATAATTATTATTATATTAAATGTAAGAAACTCTAAATTTGTACAATAATGTTCATTTATAATGTAAAAATTGGATAATCGCGTGGTAAAAGAAACATTTAAACTAATATTTTAAATCGATTTGTTTTATAATTTATTTTAATGACGTATTATCAACACTACAACCACATTATAAGTTTTTAATAGATGTAGTGACACATGTTATAAATAATAATATAATATAAAAAGGGTATCCCTTTTGTTTTTTAGAACAGCCATCATCCTACGCGTGCTACTAAAGAGATACTATTATTTATTATATTATATCAAAATTTTGGATTTGGACCAAAAAATTTATCCCAAGGGAAATAATTTAAAATTTTACTAGGATTATCATAACTATTATTTTGATTTGGTTGAAAGTTTTTCAGTTCACCTTAAAAACAATTTAACGAAATGTTACATTGTTATATATGCATTATATATTACATAATATTGCTAATAAAAGCATTGTAAATATATGAGCACACATTAATGTTTCGATAACTAATGTTATCGAAAAATACATATTACAACAACTTACTTTCATCTATGTTAATTATCTTTTCATTTGCAGTTTCTACACCATTTTTATCTTTCTTAGTTTCAATAACATATTTCTTATCTCCAATCTGTTTAGAAAGTATCTCCTTTTGGTTACCTGTGCCATCTTTTATTATCTGATGTTCCTCAATAACATCACCCATTATACGTATAGATCTTTTACTAACAAATTTCGAACTTTCAGAAAATTGTTGGATAGAAGGTACAATTTCTCTATTCTCAGGCTTGTCCCAAGATTTGAATAAATTACCAGCCGAAATAATTCTATGAATAAAGCGAATATGAAATAAATAAACTTAATTAAACTTATTAAACTAAGAGGAGAAAAGGAGAGGATGATATTTTATAAATTACATACTTTCCATCTAAATCGATATCCACTCTGGATTTTTCTTGTTCTTTTTCACTGGGCAAATCATAACCGGGTTTTAAAACTTGATCACGTAAACTATTAGTACTTTGTCCTTCTTGCAGTGATTCTTCTATGCTACCTTGAAATATACAAACAATTTCTTATAAGATCAATAAAATAATAGTGTTATAATAATTAAATCATTTCATATTGAATAATTTCATATGTACCTGGTGTAATAAATATTTTATTATCACCAAAATTAGAGAAAATACTGCCTATCATGTTATCGAGTTGAGATTCAAAAAAATGTACCATTTGCATTGGATCGTTGATAATATTATCTCCAACATGCCTACAATAAATAATGAAATCATCTAATATTATTATATACACACACATTAACATTAAAAATTAATATCTCTATAAATATACCTGAAGTCATCATCATCGTTGTCATCTTCATCATTTTGCCAAATAGGATTACGAAAACTGTTCTTCCTTATCAATGTGAACATTCAATACAAAATAATTTATTAGTAAATATAATAAATGTAATTATACTAATAACAAATTCAGGTTAAAGTGAAAAGATAGATTTTTGGAATTTTTAATAAGCTATATGTTTACATGTGTGTGTAAACTCTATTCTATAAAAAGATAGTATTTTATTCAAGAAAATAAAGGTTACATTAAAAACGCTGTTTTTAATATTTGTATGTAGGAATAAAAAAACAGCTTTGATATGTTAAAGAATCTAAATAAACCTAGAAAGTTCTTTCTATTGTAGATTCACAGACATAACGTACCTGATATAAATTATTATCGTTATTATTTATTTGTTTGTTAACATATTTATTAATATAAATAATTTACCATTCATCGCCAAAATCTCCTCTATCTCTTCCAGTGAAAAAATTTCGAAAGAAATCAAAAACTGGCATTTTTAATATTATCTTTCTACGCAGTCAGTTACTTATGATGATGCACTTATGTCAAATCTCGTCAAAACAAACGAGATTACGTCATATTCTTTGTATAAAATAATCTATCCACATAGAATTACTTGTAACGATGCCATATGAGAATTTCATCTTACACAGTCAATATGTTATTCGACAATTCAGCAGTATTCTTACAGCTGAGGTAATTTTAATAAAAAAAAAATAAAAAAAATAAAACTAGCATAGCCAATAGGGTAGCTTTCAAGATTTATATTTTGGCGCCATCTATTCTATTTTCTTTTTCGTAATAATTCTCGAAATACAATCGAATTTACTAGAAATTTCGATTAATATTATAATTATATCAAATAATATAAATATATCTTTTTTTTTTCTTTTTTCGAAAGATTATATATTAAATTATAGAAAGGGTTGGGGGGATTTTTTATTTACTATTAATTTATATTATTTTACTCATATATGATCAATGTAATAATTAATGTAGTTTTCATATCACGCATTTATGAATTTGTGCAATAATAGTTTAAGCAACATAATATAAATAAAAATTACAAATATAAATAGACCTGATACATGTATATGATACATGTATATGATACATGCATTGATGCAACATAATTATAAATGCATTTCCTTTTTTAATTAATGTAGTATTTTAAATAATACAATACAAGTAATTTAAAATTAATTACTCTATAAATGTAGGTGAAAAAAATGATTATAATAGATAAAGTATTTTAAATTTTATTGAAAAAGCTTAAAGAACAAGAGTTTCTTGAAGTTTTAATTGATTTTTGCTCTTGGCTTTAATCTGAGCAGCAATACGATCTAAATCTCTGCGTCCTTGACTTGTAAGCTTGCGTCCACCAAGAGGAGCTTTCTCTATAAGTTTTAATTGTTCTAAGCTTTGGAGAGCTTTACGGGCAACACCACCAGCTGATCGACAGAAATGACTGGGATGTGTTCCATTACGTTTACGACCACCAAAGATTTTAGTTACTGCTCCAACACCGATTGGACTGCGAATATAAATATGACGAACTAATGCTGCACAGCGGATGTAGTACCAATCTGGATCATAAGGAGCAAGTTCTTTGAAACGAGCTGATTTGACAATATCCACCCATTCTGGGACACGCATTTTGCCTGTCCTAAAATTTATATAATATTTATATTAATTATACATAATTACCTTTTGTATATATTAGAATATATACAAAATTTATAGTTGAATTATTAGTGTAAATTAAACATTTCAAAAACTACAATATAACAACAGTAGAGTACTATAGTATAAATTATAACTTAACCAATTAAAATTTTAATAATATAACTTACTTTTTAAGGAAAGCAGCAAAAGCTTTCACAAATTTATGTTGGTCAACGTCCTTTAATGTTACCGATGGCATCTAAAATAAATAAATAAATAGATCAAACAAATTGAAATCAATATACAATGTGTTGGACATTAATATCACCACATGGGTGAATATTATATGATTAAATATTATTTTTTATGATATAAATTTAGCTATACATTTAACACTAATATAATCTAGTATTTATTAATTAACTTTTAACTAATCTTAAAGAATTTAATAATAATCACTCAAACCTTTTTACATATAACAATAACTGCAAACTCTAAAGGCCTTTACCTTTGAACGTATATAAAACGGAAAGACAAAATCCAAGATGGAATCCCGGGAAATCTACCGAAAGGAAATGACCATAAAACTATTCTCTATAGATGAGCTACACAGTTATTTTTTTCGAATTATGTATTTCAATATATTAATACTAAAAAAAAATATTAATTACAGCTTTTTTATAAAATATACATTTTATTTTATAAATAGAAAACAAATTAATTATATTTTATTTCTTTTTTATTAATTCATAATCACTATTGGCCATTCTGCTACGTGATTGGTTAACGTGCGTTAGTAAGCAAAGACTTGTGACAGTTCAAACATGGTTAAATGATTTCAAAGTTTATTACAAGTTATATTGTGATCTTCTAGATAAGGTAGCTATTTCTTTTTATCATTCTATTAAAAATAATATGTACATATGTTATTTATAAATGTTTCTCTTTACTTTTCATACAAAGATAATGATATCTTTAATTTAAGATTATTTTAAAGGTTATGTTATCAAAGTTATCAACGATATAACTAATAAGATGATCTCATATCGTTACCTTTCAAGTGTTATACTGTGTAAAAATATACTTATCATCATTATTTTATAAACGTCTTTATATATGTATGTACATATACACATATACATATATATAACTGAATTTGTATTGTATTAGAGCACTTAGTATCATTTATCTTCTAATTGAAACTGGTAGTGATATAACTTGTTACAAAGATGAGTGTATTCTTGAATAAATTGAGTCAACAAGTATTAAGATTTGCAGAAAAATATTTTAGAACAAGAAATATGTTGGTAGAAAATTATCATCAACATGGAGCTTTGAGCGAACATATTTCTTTCTCTAAGGATTTCTTATTTCAACAGGTATGTGAATATTGCATATCTTTGTAGTCGTTTACCATTTCTTTTATACTACTTGACATATATAAAAAGTAATACCGTCACTCATTCTGTGAACTTAGTTCATTATATTGTATAAAATATTATCATTATTGTGAATAACATTACCATTACAGATATAATTGTATTAAAAATATTTAGTGATACTTATGTATATTCTAAACAGCGAAAGTATCTAATCTTACTTATGCTTAATTTTTGATGTACGTCATTAGAATATTATTAATAAATGCATAGAACTAATTTACGAAAATGATATAATTATCATTTTTAAATATAGCAGACTGTATAATCTAATTTCAGATAATATTATATTAGTTGATAATTTTAACACACACACAATACTATATATAATATTTTAATAAGACTTCTCTCGCTCTCTCTCTCTCTCTCTCTCTCTATCTCTCTCTCTCTCTATATATATATATGTATTAATAAATAAATTTAAAATATATAACTGCAATAAGTATGTCATAAATATTTTTTTGAATTTCCTTAGTCGCTTTGCTGAAATAAAAGCAAACATATTTTATTATCCAAAAATTAAGATCTCGCTCTCCTTATTCAAATTAATATTAATCCTTGCTTAAAAAGATAATCTTCATGTTAAGTGTTTATGTTAGATAGATCAAAATCTTATTTTTGGGTAGGTAAGATCTGATTAATTATAGTTATTAATATAATATATAATTTTACGACAACTTTATATAATTTAAAATTTGTATGTAAGTGTACACTTCTAATTCCTATTTATATTAAAAAACATTTTAGTTATTCGATCCAGTGTCCAGTACATACACATATTTACTTGCTGATATTAACAATAAAGAAGCTGTTTTAATTGATCCAGTCATTGAATGGGCTGATCGAGATAAAAAAATCATTGAGGAACTTGGTTTAAATTTAAAATATGCTGGTGAGTCGTTATCTTTTTTTTTTATTTTTTGAAAAATGAAAAAATAAACAAAATACATTTTTTCTACTTTAAATTTAATAACAAAAAAATTTCATATTAAATAAAAATGTATAAAATTAAATGGTTAAATTGGTCCCCTTTAATTAACGATTATTTCTTTTACAGTGAACACACACATGCACGCAGACCACATTACAGGAACGGGCCGATTGAAATCATTATTACCAGGTTGTCGATCGATGATCTCCCGCAATAGTGGTGCGGAGGCCGACATTCTCTTGGAGCCACGAGACCACATCAAATTTGGCAGACATTATCTGGTGGTGATACCCACACCTGGTCATACGGAAGGTGGATAACATATAATCATTTTGAACCATATTTCACTAATCATTCTTATTAATTTACATGCTTCTACAATTGTATTTAATAGTTACATTTAGATTATATTATATTATATATATACGTTTAACTATTAAATATATATAATTAATATATTCATATATATATATAAGGGAAAAGAATATATTATATTATATTCGTAATACAATGTGGAATGAATTCGAAACCTAGACGATAAGGGATTCGAGTAAATTCATTGGAGTGGCAAGTAAATAGTGTCTGCTCTTAATTACGTACTTCGAAACGCAGCCAAGGGACTAAGGGGGGTTGGAGGGGTTGGGAAATAGTTGTGAGGGATCGTATTAACGCCTTCCACGTAGGTACTTCGATTAATCGATCGACGGGCCTCGCCCCATTCTTCTTTAAACTCAGATACTTAAACTTTCTATTATCTTGTTTTTCATTAAAAAATAAATTATATCAAAAGATTATCTTGCCGACAAATATAATATATAAATACCGTTCGATATTCTTACTAAATGAAAAAAAAAAAAAAAAACAAATTTATAATAAATTGTAACGTTTTAGCATGTTGTTGTTGTTTTTATTATACTATATATAAAATAAATCAGATATTTATTTATGAAATAAAATAAATAACGTTAGTTTTAATTTTTGTTCAATACGATACGCGATCAAAAGTATCAATATATTT